ATCGGGATTTCTTGCGCAAAAAATTAAGGTGCCTGTTTACACTGGCCCTCTTGCGCAAGCATTCTTGCGCAACAAGCACTGAATTCTTACATTAGAAGTCAGTGCTCTTGCGCAAATTCAAGCAGCCAGTATAGACAGTTGGCAAGTTTTTGCGCAAAAGCAATAGCTTTTGCGCAAAATCTTGCCAGTCTAGACACCCCCCCCCGCCCCGACTAAACAAACCCAAATCCCTCAGTCTCTCCTCATAGGTCATGTGCTCCATCCCCCTAATCATTTTGGTCGGCCTCTGCTAGACCCTCTCCAGTGCATCCACGTTCTTTCTATAGTGGCTTGTTTATCAGAAACACTGGACACTCAGAACTGAATCTCATTGTTACAGGTGCAGTAATGGCCTTTCTAGAAAATATGCTTTGAAGAAGTTCAGGTATTAGGAGAAATGAATATGGATTTGGGATCTAACTTGCGTGTGTTGTTTGTAGAATATCTAGACTCAAGCATTTGTCCACAATGGCAGAGTCTAGCATGTGTGTCACCAGGGACAGAGTCTGGGGAGAATGGGGGTGTGGAAAGGATTAAAGCCCCTTCTGAAATGTCTCCAATTACCATTCTCCCCTGACAGGCTGCAGGACACCCATGTCTGTCTCCAGCTCAGCCCATGGCCTGAAGAGCCAGAGACAGGAAATGGCTGTGGCAGAGCCAGTGACCTTCAAGGAAGTGGCTGTGTATTTCTCTGAGGAGGAATGGGCTCTGCTGGACACAAGTCAGAGAGACCTCTACTGGGATGTGATGCAGGAGAATTATGAGGCTGTGAGCTGGCTGGGTAAGGATTCCTATCCCGTCGGGTATCAGGGGCTAGGTGGGCTTTGGAGCAGCTGGGTTGGGTTTGGTTCAGAGTCCCTCATTGAGCCTGCCCCCCAATGTCAGGAATATCAGCTTCAGTAATCCTGGCTCTTGTGCAAAAGACTGTCCCCTCCTCATCCCCTCCCAGGGGAAGCAGGTTCAGGGACATCATAATGGTTCTGCTCTTCCCACACCCAAGATCTCAGTGCGCTTCTGCACCATCTTGCCCATGTTGTGCTTTGGCCAGAGGTGGCAGTGGAAGGCCCCAGGTAGGAACGGCAGTGTTACGGGGTCCGCGAGTCCCCCCCGTCCGGGGCAGTCACACTCCCCCGGTTGCCGCCCCAGAAGGTCCCAGTCTCTGTGCCGCGGCGCCGGGTCGGCCCTCCCGGTGGTTGCCCAGAGGATCCCACGAGCGAGGAGGTGAGGGGGGTCCGGGCCCTCCCTCTCTCCAGACCCCAGCCCAGGGCCCTAAGGCGGGGGAGATGCTCTTCTCTCCCCCGACCTGGCTGATGGGGCACAGAGCCGCAACGCATCAACCCTCGGGCTCCAGTACACCCGCCCTGGGCTGCTTCCTCACGCCCTCGCTCGTCCGCTCACCAGCTGGCTGGTCTCGCCGCCTCCTCAGTGTCTCTCAGTCTCTGACTCCAGCGTCCTCCTTCTCCTCCTCCCCTGCTTCTGCCTCTCCTGACTTTATACCTGGGGAAGGTGCCGCCCCGCCCCTCCAGAACACTCACACCTGTGCTCATCCACGGCCCCAGCTTCTCCTCCCCAGCTGTTTCTCCTCACCCCCCAGCGTTCTCTCCCTCTCCTGCAGCTGTGGGGCATAGGGCCGGCTGGGGCGCCCGCGGGGCTGCCCGCCCCGAGGCTGGTGGGGTGCCGTCCCTGCCCGGTTGTCCCCACTAACCTTGCCGGGGGGGGGTTCTTCCCCCGCGCTGTCCCGGGCTGCGTCCCTGGAGCCGCCAGCCTGGCGGCATGTCCCGGCTGCCCTGCTGCCTGCGTCCCCGGCGGCAGCAGGTCCAGCCGCGGCGTTCCTTTCTGCCCCGCTGGGGGGGCCCTCCTCGGTGCGGGGTTGCCTCACCCCGTCACCGCCCTCCCCCGTGTTGCTCGGGGTCCCGCCCGCTCGCCCGCCTGCCGAGCGGCGCGGCCCGGTTACCCCACCGGACGCGTCCTCGGCGGCGGCGGGGGCAGACGC